TGTATATATTTAATTATTAATGAAAATAAACATTATTTATGTAGCAAAGAAAATGTTACGATTTCCTGAGAGATGCCTAAACAATTCAGCCTATTTCTTATATAAAACGCTCCTGAACCAGAGCTATCGGCGGCTCGGTCGCCAGCGGCCGGGCGGTAGTAGGGGAATAGGAGGCATCGTCTTGGGAATCGGTCCGAAATGTGCAACTAATTCCGAGCGCTATCGTAAATGAATTCTTCTCAGTAATTTTCAATCCCATTTCTGAACTTTCAATACTTTCTCGTTTACTGGACTGTCAAATGCTATAGTTCATTAATTGAACTACGTATCCAGCTCATTGTTACCCTAAACTTTAGTGTAACAACTACTTCAGATTAAAGTACAACTTAAGAGTAATGCTCAAATTAACTCTCAAGTTGAGAATAACACTCAAGTTAACTCTTAAGTTGAGAGTAACATTCAAGTTAAGGGTAACACTCATGTTGAGGGTTACACTCAAGTTGATTGTCCGAAATAACTCAAATTGAGTGTTATTTTGAGTGTTTTTTTCCGTAAAGGGTAATTGATCTGCTAACGGAGTAATACGACCCTTCCGGTCACTGATTCGTTCGTCCTAACAGACCTAACGGCTTACGTGATCAGGCCCGTTCACACTGATCGCCGAGTAAAATCTTTCTGTCAGGATGTAATAGAATAATGCATTTCTTTTGAGACATTTTATGGTAAGCATTTAAAATGGGTCACTCGATATAATTAGTAATAATCTTTATTGTATTAGAATTTATTCTTGTTTAGCTTGTAATAACTTTTTCTAGTTAATTAAAACATTTTATATGACTAATTAAAACATTTTCTTTATTATTCACTAATAAGATATGTTGAAGAGAATACAAAAAGCAAAAGAAGAAAAACAACTGTAATAGAGCGTCTGTAGCGCCACAAGCGTACGCAGTTTAAAATTGAATCCGCAACATATTGAAAGTCATTATTTAATAAAATACGAATATGTCGTCTAAAAGTTAATTTTATTTTATAACAATTGTTTTACGTATCGTATTTTAGATAATTAAATATGATAGTAATTCAATAATGTATGCCTATATATTGCAACATTATAGTATTTTTGTCACAATTTTGTATGTGAAATTACAATTTTACGCTCTCTATATTTTCTTCTACCGCGAGATTGGATAAATTCACGCATTAGTAAGACATATGGTGTTTCTGCCATTAAGGATAATACATAAGCACAGCAGAAAGTAATCATGACATATCCCAGACACATGTTAGCCTGAAATTAAATTATGATAATAAATGTATGTTTTTAGCCAATATCAAAATTTTAAATGTTTGTATACTTACCAAGGTTAAAAATTCTAAATGAATGGTTGTTTCACCATATAAATTAACCGAGTGTATGATAAAAGGATTTAAAAGATAAGCGCAATATGTAAGTCTGCTAAAAGGGATCCAGCCTTTGAATGATAATATTTTCTCAACAATGCCTGCAATAAAATCACACATTTAATAAGAGAAATATTGTAATATTTTTCTAAATTACAGCATTATTACTTACATTATAAATTTTATTATAATTACAAAGTTTAGTTCAAAAATTTATTAAAAATTAAATTAAATGGAATTAATAAATTTCCAGATTTGATAAGATTTATTTATATTATTAAATAACAAACCTCCGTGCTTGGTGAAACATGCTATTATAATCCATGCAATACCTATGGCCCAAACAGTTTTGCTTAATGCAACATAGACAGCAGTAAACAGAACGGATATATCTCGTGTATAAAGGCTGAATAATGCAAAAATGTTGCAAGCACTTCCAAGGCACCAATATAAAATTACCATTTGCTAAAATTTGTTGTTTAATTACTAAATTAAAAATTATTATAGCACAGTAAAAATAATTTTAATAATTTAAACAATTTTTTTTCTAGTATTTAAATTAATTTATCAATACCTCTTTTTTTTACATATTTTATAACTATTTTAATAATTGCTTGTTCTTTTACAATTAATCTATATAAAAGTATTATACTCTACCTTTTTTAAGGGTAGCTTATTGTTTAGTCTTACTAGAATATAACCCGTAATTATTCCAATAATATACGGACCTATTCTAAGCCATGACGGGTAATACAAAACATTTAAAAGTCTATATTGTTCATCCAATCTATAACAACGAAAAAGAAATTTATTTAACTTATCTCATGATTATTAAGATCTTTTTGCGACTTACGTTGGAACATATTCGTGGACATATGAAATATAACCAGAAAACACAATTGAACCTATTAAAAGTGTAATCAAAATGGCGACAGCTGCATAAAAATATCTGAAATTTATTGTATTTATTTAAACATATGTGTGAAATGTATTTCCTATACAATATCGTCAATAGACAGTCAACTTACATAGTGGACAAAATCAATAAAGCGGTACCGATTATATAAAATTGCATATCAATGGCTAGATACCAGCTCCAAGACATGCACTGCAAAAAATAAGAAATAAAGAATAAATATTTTATATACTTTCAAGCATAATGCTAAATCGACTTTAAATAAATATATCCGTACCATTGTTCTATGATCGAACAGATTATTTATGTACAAAAGATTTCTCCACCAATATTTAGCGCAAAGTTCATGCGGTCTCTCGTTCATGTAAAATTGTGAAGTCTTATTGTACCAAGATGAGTTTAATTGCAATATTCCTATCATCATCATATAAGCCGGCGTTAGCCTTAAAATGGAGGTTTAGATTTAAATTTGTAAAAAAATCATATTCATCGCATTGTGCTTAAATTTAATTTTCAAACTTTATTAATACATTTTTTATTTTGTCGTACCCATTGAATTATTTCTTTGTTAATTGTTTACGTGAACCAAGATAGTGGAAAAACATACCGGATAAATCTTCTTATTATGCAGACAAAGAACTCATTTAGTTTCGCTCTGTAATTAATTGGCTTAGAGTTGTCTTTATCTGGTGTATTTTTCAGATATAAATAAGCTAATAAAAATCCGCTTTGAAAAAGATAGGTGTCGACTGATATTATCGCATTGGTCAATACTTGAATGGGAAAACCGGTGCCGAATCTTAAAGCCCATGTTCTATTATCTATGTATGTAAAATAATTTTTGTTACGCATAGAAAATAAAAATCGAAAAACATAATATAAATTTTACAAATCTCTTTGTTTCTAATTACTTACCGAAATAGTCTGACGAGTAAAATACAGAGTGACTTATTACTATCCACACCATGGTCATAAATCTTAATCCGTGAATGATAGGTATTGAATCACCTCCTAGTTTTGCGCTCAATATTATTTTCGTGTTTGTATAAATGGAAAAACACACCAGTATTTTTCCAAGTTTATTTTCCTGATGTAATGACGAAACTGTTATTTCCATCTGTTCGGGTATGTTTTTCACATCTGAATAACAATTTGAAATTTTTAATAGAAATATAGAAATTAGTTATTATACAGTATACTAATATAGAAATCGAGATAAATTTAAAATAAAGAAACTATTAAGTAAAGTAACTAAAAAAATGCATTTTCAAAATATAAAGTCTACAATATTCATGATCATAATTATTGGTAATCTGCTATTGAACTCTAAGCACGTTAAGAAACTTTGAACATGATACTTACGAGTTTCACTTTTGGCATTTATTAAATATTTTTGATACACAAATACATCATATATAGTTCCGATTATCATCACGGAAATAGTAAGCATTAAAACAACGCTGCAATCAAAAATTAATATTTATTAACATTTGCTACTAGAAAAAATATCTAGTTCGAGAAACTAGATTTTTTTGGTGACAAAAATATTTGGTTGAAATATGTGTAACCAAATCTATTTAGTCCTAAATAAATGTCTTTGTTAGCAACATTTTTTTCTTACAGTTCCTTTTCTTGATATAACAACTAAAAAATATTAACGAAACAAGTTTTATTAATTTAAACAAAAATGTTTTGTTATATTAATTAGACATCTTTTTCCCAGTTTTTTCCAATTAGGTTTCCAGTGAGAAATACAGGTCAAAAAAACATCTATTAGATATCTATTAGACTTCTAATATATACGTCTTTTCGACTTTTATTTCTCACTGGGAACTTAATATTGCTTTGTTAAACTTTATTAACTTGGTTATTTGAATTAAATATAAAATCTCCATTTTATTGTCAAATTTTCTAACAACTAAATTATTTGGTCAAGACAACAAAACTAATGATTATTTTAGCAAAAATAACTAAATCTTTTATAATATAAAACAAACTGTTTGATTGCTATAAAAAAAATCTCTACTATAAAATTTGGTTAAAAACGCTAAATTTTTTTTTCTAGCGTACTTCTCTCAGGACTGTTGAAAGTTGTATAAAAAAAAGACATCTCTCTAATCATATATACATATTTTTTTTTTTTGACGGACCTGATAAGAGGTATCGCACCCCTGAATAACCATTCATGATCGTCTTTTAAATCTTTAACTTCAATCAATCTGAAATCCATGGAATAGAGATTACCGATCAGGAGAAGTCTATCTTGAAATATCCTTTCCAAAATAAAACTGAGTTCATTTGCAGAGCACGATGCTGGTAAACAGAGTCCAAGTGTAATTAAATCCTAAAAGTCAATATTTTCTGTATATTATTGTAATATTGTAATATCAAACATATATTTCCATTCTCATAAGTCCGTTTATTGTTAGTATATGCTCATCTTTTTACAATTTTTATCTTAAAATTAAAATTTTGAGATAAACTAGATAATGAAATATTTGTTATAAATTTATTGATAATTTTTCCGACTTTTCTTTACTAATTATTTCATTACGCATTAACAAGATTTGCATTAACATTATCAAGATTTGAAAAAAAAATTTTTAACGATTTAAATTATCATAAATATTTATTATAAATATTTATTATTATTTTTTCTATTTTTTAAAATTTATATATGTTGAATTTTGTTGTTCAACGGTATGTCAATTTTAGTATCGTATTTAATTTTCTGTTTTTACGGCATTGCATCATAACGCATGATCAATAATATGTTGCATTTGGCTTACTTAAACTTGTTTACAACTATGTTGATCAGCTACAATCCTACTTTAATTTTCTTGTGCTAATTTTATAGGTATATAATCTAAAGATCTATAATTTAAAAATACGCAACACACATTGCTGTAATTTGGCGATTAAAAAAAATTTAAGAGATTTTTCTCACAATATTTAACAAACAAATTTATATTTAACAAATCAATTTATAATTTAACTGATTTTTTATCTCATAAAGATTTACAGACTTACATCATTTGGCAAATCAATGTGGTATTGAAGAGTACTATTGTGTTTGAAATGAGCAACAAAGTAATGCACTTCAAAAGGCGTAAACTCCTTTTGTGGATCACGATACAACGAATTATTTAATAAATCTCGTCTTGAAATCTCCATGGGATATTTATTCATTGTATCGTAACACTGAGTGCGACTGCCTAACCAGTAATTATTTCCATAAAAAAAGCCTGGTTTAGGTTCGCCGCTAGAATCCAGCACTTAAAGATAAAAAATACACAATTATTATTTATAAAAAATAGAATCAGCATTGAATACTTTTCCATTAATTGTTAATTAATGAATGAAATCCTGTACAGTCTTGTGTCCAGACGGACTCGACATAAACTCGACTGGCTTTATATTATATTTTACAATCTTTATAGAATTTCCTAGATAATAAAAGTTTACTGTGTCATTTATCTTTACTTGACAATTTAAGAAATAAAGAGACAAAATATTTAATATTAAATTATTCATCAAAATTAATTCGGACCGTAGAAGGTGCATGTAAATCGCAAATTTCAAAAATCAACTCTTAAATATTGCGTATTATTCAGAATTCTAGAGATTTGTATATGTATTATGTTAATATTATTGCTACATATATTTTTTATTATATATTACATTCTACATACAAACGAATAAATGTAATTGTTATGAAAAAAATACACAATCGTAAAAAATTATTGTACAAATTATTACATCTCAAGAAAAGAGTCTTAAGAAATTAAAATTAATATTCTAAATAATGTTTCTATGATATTTTACGATGTATTTGTACTAACTTTCTCTTAGAATATTTTTTCTCATGTATACACGAGTAAACAACGATAGTATTAGATAATATTCAAAACTCTGGATATACGTAGGAATATCTAAACATGTATATTGTATATTTAAGAAAGTGTATATTTAGCTACACTGTGTCAACTTTAATAGACATATGCATCGCGATTACGTGGTGCATGTTTCAATCCGCGAGATACAGGATCCTCGAAATGAAATGAGAGAAAATCGAATAGCATACGCGCGTAACGCGTAACGGAGGCTTTTCCTAGCGTATATGGTTAGAAAACTCGTTTCTTGTGTAACACGAAGAAAGTTGATTTGGCGAGGTGCTCTAAGAAAAATTACGCGTTTGACACAATATCGCGGTGATAATATACATTGCATAACAAATGAACAAATTATATATGGAATGTTCGTATACTTCAAACATACTGTGAGAATCATTCTATAATACAGAAAAGTTTATGTAACCGATTAATAGTCACTTTTTAGATTAATAATTTTAACGAAAGACAGTATAAATTAGAGATAATTACATAGTCTAATAATAGAATAACCCAGTGAACACAAAGTAACAGTAACATAACATTAATGTTATAATTTCCCACTCAACAACATAATTGTTACGTACGAGACATGTTATATTGTAGTTACTAAGTGCAGTTATTGAGTGGAAAGTTATAACATTGACGTTATGTTACTGTTAACTTGTGTTTACTGGAAATATATCAAATTTTGATATCATTTTTTTATAATAATAAACTTTGTTAATCGATTAATTCTCAAGCACTTTTTTAATATATATATATATATTGAAAAAAATGAACAACAGTGTGTTAAAAATCTTACTAACTTCTCAAGCTCCATAATATCCGTTGATCAATGGCATCTCGAAAGTCGTGTAATTCTTTTCCGCATGTTGAGTTGAGAAGACCGGCTCTTGTGGCAATGGCATAAGCAGGTAGCGTATAATTACTGTCATTATTCTCGTTGGATCCGTGATTTTGTGCAGAGGCACAAATTAATGCGATAAAATTTACGCAGATATACAAAATCAATACAATTTGCCGATGCGACATATTTCGGCTGTAGCATCCAGCAGACACTTTTATTTCCTTGTCGCTACAAACTTAACACCGATAGCAATCATAAAGTCAAGAAGAGTAAAACCAAAATAAATAAGACACTTTTTGTTCGATAAACCAAATAACGAAAAACACTGTTGGCAAAAAGATGCGATAAAGCTAGAAAAACGCTTTTCGAGATCCGTTATTCTTTCTGTCGCTGATCTCTACCGGCGCAAACGTTCGCGTAACATTCGTAGGTTTATTTGTGAATACGCGGGATTTGATTTGCACACCAAGCGCTCAATGATCAGCGAGAATCGACGATTGGGAGAAGACTGGTCTATATAGGGAGAAGTTAACGTGGATTTGCGGTGGAAAGTGAGGCGTCTCCTCGTCGATGGTCTTTTTTCACGTCATGACAAGACCCCACCATTTGTACACGAAATCATTTATATATGTTCAATATTCATATATGTCGACATTCAATAAAGATCTAAAAAAAAACACATAAATTTATTTTTTTTATTCTTTCTTGTTTTTATGTGTATCCATTTCCATTTGCATGCATTTACAAAAACAGAATTTTACTATAGATTGAGAATATAAAGACAGCAAAAGAAATAATGAAAGAAATAACAAAATTTTTTAGTTAAACTTCAAAGATAAATGATGTGTTTAATAATTTAAAAAGAACAAAAAACGAACAATTTTTGTTAACATAAATCAGCTGATAAAAAAATACGATAAAGAAAGAATGACTATAAGATATTATTATTAAGATATTATTATTGAAAATATTATTATTAAGAACAATTTACTTAATATTGTATTGTTAAACAGAATAAAAGATTAAAAATGAATCATCATGCCGTGCATTCCGTACGTAATAAGACGAGAAAGTGTTATTATCTAAAAGAGACAGAATTGAAATGAAATAACAAGAATAATGAGTATCGTTAGCCTTGTGTGATTTAATCTCTTGACTTGTTGTCAGAAATATAATACGCAACGGAATAATGCGATTTCCGTTATGCAACTAAAAATATGTAAACTGTGTTTTCTGACCATTATTTATCACGATTATGCGATATATATAGTCAAGAGGTTTTTTTATTATTCTTTTAAATATTAAAGTCTCATGCTTATTAAATTTGTTTTTTTTTTATTGAAGTTGTATAAAATTTAATGTTTCTTTAAAAAAAATCTCGGGAATTGTATTATTTCAACACGGAAAAAAAATTTGCTGTCACAGCATATTTTATGCTACCATAGCAAATTTCGTTAGTTATTATATGGACAACAAAGAGATTTACTAAGCATACTAATTTGCTGGAAATATATTTGCTAATCCTACAAATTATAATAATTATAATAACAAACTGTTTTTATTTTGCCATTGAAATACTTTTACTGCATCAAGAACGCAATTTGGTTACATGTTTGGTTACAACGAATCAAGTTTACTATATCAGAAAAACGCTTTTGTTGAATTAACAAGTTATCTTGAATAAATAAACAAAGTATTTTTACTATATTAGTAAAAAATTTTAGCTGTATTTAACAGCACTTTTTAGTAATTTCAACAAAGTAACTTTGCTATATTAGCAAAAGGCTCTAATGCTGTATTAACAATGCATTTTGGCTATATTAGCAAAATAATTTTGCATATTAGAAAGGCTCTTTTTTTTCTTTCTTTCTTTTTTTTTTTTTTTTTTTTTAGCAAAGCATCTTGGCAGTAATATTCATTCAGGTTTACTTTCTATCTAAGAAATAAATAAATAGAAAAATATATATAAAATCTAATAAAAATAAAAATTAATTTAATTGTATTTTAATTTCTGTTTTATTAGATTTTAATATTGTTGCGTACCCTAAATTACGCGCCGTTTATCTTTGCCGTGTTGCTATAGTAACATCAGATTAACAAACTATTTGATAGTTTGTAAAAGAATTATAATAAATTAAATGTCATGTGTCAATATTATCATAGAAACTAACTAATCAAAAAGATTGGGATAAGTCGATCTATTTGTATTTATTGGCGTATCGATTTTCAAAACATGAAACTACTGGTTTCTCCAGCAGAATTATATTTCGCTCAGGATTTAAGATTGCCTTTAGACTTATTGCGAGGAAGTCCTCCAAATCAAAATAATGACATAACGATCAGGGACGGATTTCGGTTTCTGCCGCTCCTAGGCTGAATCAAATTTGCCGCCCCTTAATGACAGTGCAATTTTTAATATTAAAAAAACTCAAAGAAAAAATTTCAGCAAAATCGGTTGAGAATTGGAGGAAAAAAACGGGAAATAAGTTTTGCCAAAAACGCCGGAAAAAATAGCACTTTATACGCTCTTTAACAGTAATGATCACGAACATATTTATATTATGACTCTTTTGATGAAAATCAGAATGTATTTCAAATATAAATCGAGTGTTCATAAATTTTTTTTTAATTCAAAAATTGAAAATTTGCCGCCCCCTAAAATCTGCCGCCCTAGGCTATAGCCTATCCAGCCTAATGGGAAATCCGCCCCTGATAACGATTGATGTTTATTCACAAAAGCTTAGAGAAAACTTAAATAATATTCACATTGAAGCTCGACAACAAATAGAAACTCAATCGTTTCGTTCTAAGGTATGATCAGAAGGCTCGTCAAATCTGTTTTGAGGAGAGACATGAGGTTTGGTTTTATAATCCTTGTAGGGTTAAAGGTAGAGCACCCAAATTACAAAGTTATTGGGAAGGTCCATATAGAATTATAAAGAAATTAAGTGATTAATGTTGTCTTTTGTATACAAAAATAAAAAAAACACAAGAAGAAGATTGTTCATTCAGATAGATTAGCTCCGTATATTCCGGGACAGATTTTGAATTAAAGTATAGCAGAAATTAAAAAAAAATTGAAAGCTATTTAATAATTGTACGATTATAATTGTACGATTAATGTAAATATTTATTTTAAATGAACAATTTATCTGTTTTAAGTTTTTTTATGTAATTTTAAAGTAATAAACTTCTTTGGAGGAATGAATCTGGAGAGATGGATTTTGAATCTGAAGAGATGGATTTCCTTCTCGTTTTCAAATAGAAATTTTTCTGGATTTTCTTCAAACAAAAAATTTTATTTTTAACAAGGACTGCCTCGCTCACGGTTTTTGAGCCGTGGTTTTCCTGTGAGCCGAAGAGCAAATGCTGAGGCAGGGGCTGAAAAGTCCTTATTAGGGTGATGGGTCCACGATAGATACCCCTCTCTTGTCCGAAGAATTTTGAAGAGCAACGGCATAAGAAATTAAAACAGCAAGAGGAAATTTAGTCGATTAGGACCTGGGATTGGTGCTCGGTAACTTGTTGCAACAGCACAAGGTAGAGCAAGAAACCCTGGAGTCGACGATATTCGAGTTCAAAGAAGGTGTTCGATTGGGATCAAAATAGCGGCGCTCGATAACTTGATGCAGCAGCACAAGGTAGAGCAGGAAATCGTTAAAATGCCCTGGAGTCGACACTAGAAGTTTGAAGACAACAATCAACCTTCCTGGATTTTCAGAGAATTGTCGGGACGACAATTTTCTCTGGAGGAGGGCAATGTTGCGTACCCTAAATTACGCGTCGGTTATCTTCGCCGTGTTGCTATAGTAATATCAATTAACAAACTGTTTGATAGTTTGTAAAAGAGTTATAATAAATTAAATGTCATGTGTCAATATTACCATAGAAACTAACTAATGTTTATGTTTCCATAGAAACTAACTAATGTTTATTAAATTATCGATTTTCTTGGACTGTCAGATTTATGCTAACTGTCAGATTGTGCGGACGCGTACCTGATAGCTGCGGCATATTGTACTCGTATTCTTGTTACGTTGTTACGTTGTTGTGTTATTCGGTGTTTAATTATTAAAGTGTTTTATTATTAAAATTGTGTCAGTTCTTTGTGCGTGTAATTATCATTCGGGCGATCACGGACTGTCAATTACGACACGCGGACGCAATAATATGTATTTATTTACTTCCTACACAAACCTAAATGGATAGTACAAAAGATATTTTACTAATAAAACAAAAAAATAACTTTTCTAATATTATTAAAATGTTTCTTCTTTGTCTGTAAACATACACAAATATGAATGTAGAATACTATATGTATAAAATTGAAAATGGTTGCAGGAATAATAATATAAACACATTATGTCGCACATTATGTCAATATTTTTTAAAATTTTATTTAGAAGAACTATATAGAACCTCCAATAAAGTTAAAAATACAAGTTAAAAATACAAGTTGAAAAATAAATCATTATTTAAAACAACGTAAAACACAATACAATTCATCATAATAATTTACTAAACTAGGACATACATGCGCGCCTTTTTTTCACATCATGACAAGACTCCACCATTTGTACACGAAATCATTTATATATGGCGATATTCAATATTCATATATATATTGACGTTCAATAAAGATTTAAAAAAGAAAACATATAAATTTATTTTTTATGCTTTCTTGTTTTTATGTATCCTTTAATAAATAAGTTTATAGAGCCGAAGCTGGTTTTACGTGCTCAATTATTTATTTAATACAATTGTACAGACGTTTCAATCATTGTATTTGGCCTTCCTCAGTGTACTAATTAATAATATCAACAACAAGAACCCGTCACATAATTTCAATTTTATTGTTTATTTATTTAAAATAATATTAAATGTAAATTAACAATCATATTTATAGATATTAATATTGAATAAATATTTAGTAAAATATCCAGTAAAATTTCTAAAACAACTTTTACGCTATCTGTGTGCACCATTTTAATCCAATAGCAATCTTGTTTCTAGAACAAATTTATTCAGCAAACTTTTTCTTATTCTCCTAACAAGTAAAATATTGCTATAATAATATTACAAAATCGATTACAAAGCATTCTTTCTTTGTTGTTATGATGAATTTGTATCAGCAATAATGATTTTATTGTAGTAGTGAAATATATTTGCTAGAAATAGACTATTTTGCTTTATTAGCAAATGAATATGTTTATATGAACAAATTAAGTATATATATTCAATTAAATATATTAAAT